AATGAGCAATGACACTTCCAGGCAATTGCTGCCTCTCGGGCCAGAGGCCCTCGGGACGCAAACTTTGCCATCGGTAATTAAGGCCCTCCTAATTCCCTTGATACATAAATAACTATTTTTGATCCTTTTCTGCCAGTCTCTTTCGGTAATATTAGATATTTCTTCTTCAACTAGCTCTATTACCTTCTTATCAAATTTTGGAAAATTATTTTCACGCCTAATGCTTTGTTTCGGTTTTCCCCAAATCAACTTGATAGGATTGAAAACACAAAAATAGGGGGGAAAGAAAAACTTTGTATTTCATCTTTCTTCAAATTTTTATTCGGTACTTTAATGAGCTGTCGCGAATGATTGAAGGGGATTTGTGTTTATCAAACAGATGGAAGGTAGCACAAAAGCTCACAGATTTATTCTGGCAAAGATGAGCTAAAGAATATCTACCATCTCTGGCAAAACGAGGCAAATGGTACCATCTCTGGCAAAACGAGACATATGGCACCAGCAGAAAAGAAATTTCAAAATACGGGATATTGTCCTATTTTATGACCCTAATAGTCCCCTAGGAAGGATGGCAAAATCAGAGTGGTTGATGTTGTTACATCTTCTGGAACAAGATTCAAGCTAGCACAAAATTAGGCAGAAGTCCAAAAAATAAAAGCGGTATAACACTTACAATAAATGATACCACATTTACTGATCCCGTCTCAGTAGCTAATTGTTTTGGCGAACATTTCTCCACTAATATAAAAAACAAAATTGACGAATATTTTGGAGTTGACATGTCTCAAAGCTGCACCACTGGTGAAATGCAACAAAATACCTTTTTCTTCGAACCCGCCACAACCGAAGAGGTCAAATCAACAATATTCAACCTCAAAAGTAAAACGGCATCAGGACCTGATAATGTATTTCCCAATGTTTTGAAACTAGTTTCCATTAGTGTGGTGCAACCCCTAACTGACCTGATCAATATGTCTATTGAAACAGGTGAATTTCCAGATGTGCTGAAATTGAGTAAAGTGATCGCCATACATAAAAGTGGTAATAGATCAGAAATTGATAATTATAGACCAATTAGTCTTCTCAGTATTTTTTCAAAAATTTTAGAAAGACTAATGTACAATAGACTAATGAATTTTTTAATAAGTCATAAAATTTTATCTGATTCTCAACATGGATTTCGCATGGGCAGGTCAACTGAATCTGCTACTACCCTTTTTGTTGATTTCATATCTAGGAATATGGACAATAGGAAGCACGTGGCAGGAATTTTCTTTGACTTGTCTAAAGCTTTCGACT